AAATAAATAAATAAATATTTTAGAATTACCTTTCCCTTTTTGTCCTCCTTCAATCAAACAGACCCTAAACGAAGAGGCTTCTAATGGAGTATTTATTTATTCCTCCCTAGCTTTCTGCCGCCCTCCCACCCCAGATCTGAAATTTCGGATCTCCTTTCCTTTTGTGTACCGAACCACTCGCTGTTTCTGCTGTGCGTATTGAATTTTCTCCATTTACAATTTACGTTTCCGTTCATTCTGTTGGATCAATGGCTCTGAGACTCGTCTACGGCCTCCTCTTCGTCTCCGTTTCCACCTCCTGTTTCCTCTGCCTCCATCTCCTTCTCCAGCCGCTCTTCTTCTTCACATCTCTCTAAGTACTCCAGTTCTTCTCTGTCTCTATGCCATCGTCTTCCTATATTCTTAGTTATGTATCAGAATATTCCAGCTTTCATTGCCGTCGGTTCTCAATCCGGGTGAGTAATTGAATCATTTTCCATGGGTTGGAGTTGGAGGATGGCTCTGATCTGCCGCTTGCTTTTGTAAAAATTGTAATACCAACTCAATACTAATATTTGTATTACGATTTTTATATATAGATAGATAAATGGGGACAATTTTAATATTACGTTTTTATTTATTTATTTAGTTCTCTTTTTTCAGTTAGTTTTTTTTAGCGTTTCTCAATTGTAGTTAATTCGTTTGCTAGGGGAATTTCCCCCACGCTATACTAGTGATTCAATTTTTTTTCTTCTAAAACATCAAATTAAAAGTTTATTTTTTATTTTATATATTATATTAAAAATTTAATTTTATATTCAAAACATTACATAATATCTGTTTATATCAAATTATACAACTATTCACGTTCAAAATTTTTACTATTCAAATTTCAATAAAAAAATCCAAACACCTGAACAAATTTGGCTGCATGCGATCATATGTTTTTTATTCACTTTAATTTCTTCAAATTTCTTTTTTATAAACCAGCCGATGAAGCAATGGAACCACACGACAATATACATAAATTTTTAACTCGAAGGCTAATGTAATAGGACACAATTTCTGAATTTCACTTACAAATTTGAACCTAGAAATTTAAGATAAAACAAAAAGCACCGAACTTCCCGACAGAGACCGGAGGCGTGACAGCTCTGCTCTTTAATCCGAGGCGAAATTCAAATTATGGGCTCCAATGAAAAAATATATCATAATATTTTTTTGTATTATAGAAATGTAAATAATTAAATAAAATAATTTCTTTTAATATTTTTAGATGCAAATTCATCGATAATAGTATCAATATTAATTTTTTTAACATTTTTTTTCAATACACAATATAGTCAATCAATTTAATCGTTTTTGAGACATACACGATCTTAAATAAATTTTTAATAATTTTAATTTTGAAAATTTTTTTTTAGCTGATGCTACTGTTATTTACTGGTACTGGTAATAAAATATGATAGACTATAGAAACATTAGGATAACAGTCAGCCGCATTAATAAATTCAAGAATTTCAATCAGTGACAATAAGTTATAAGTAAAATCATTTATAGAACTTTTAGTTTAGTAATCATTTCTTTTAGGTCAATATCAGAAATATTATTATGAAAAAAAATAGTTGATAAAACAGTACAATATTCTCTTAACTCTTTATTATCTAACCTTACAACATTTCTTTAACTCTTTATTGTCTAAAGATTTTAATTTTTGTAAATTAAATAAAAAATCAAATATTCTATTAAACATTTTCAATTGCATAAATCCATCATTTAACGAAGTAATTGTCATATCTACTACAAGTAAAAAAATAATTAATTTTAAAATTTTCTTCTTCTGATTGTATTTTTCATTTTGATCACTATCATCAAATTTTTGTTTTCAAAAACTACGACGTTTAGTTAAAAATACGCATTCGATATCCATAATTAAAGCAATTTCTTTTGCAATATGCATAATATTAAAAAATCATTCATTTCTATATTTTTCAAAAAATAATAAAGTATATTCTATTTGTTTCATAGCCATAGTATCAATACTTACAAATTCAGTTTGTAATTTTTTACTCACACTATTAATAACAAATAAAATATCATACCAAGTAAAAATTCATAGGATTCAAGGGTAATCAAACTTTCAGCTTCACTTTTTGATTTAGCATCATCACATGAATTGATTAAATCTAACAAGATTAATCTAATTTGGGGAGTTTAAAATCTAATAGCTTTAACAATTTTAATTCTACTTTCCGAACGAGTGTTTGACAAAAATTTTAAAGTAAAATTTAAAATATTATCGAGCAAAAATTTCCATCTTTTTGTCGAGCTTGAAAATAATGTATATATACGTTGCACAATTCCAAAAAATGATACTACTTTTGTACAATAATGTGTCATATCACAAAGTGTAAGATTAAAATTATGACAAACATATTCCGATAAAAAAAAAAAAAAAAGATTATGACAAACACATCACATATATAACGCTCTAGATTTATATCAAGTAATTTTTTTTGAACTGTTTGTTGTTTACCTTTCATATTAGATCCATTATCATAACATTGACTCATTATATTATTAATATTAAGATCATTGTAAAAAATAATTTTCGATTTTAATTTTACTACTTGACATATCTATATAACGCACAATTAAAGTCATTTGTTCTTGGTGACTAATATCCGCGATACAATTTAGAATTATTGAAAAATATTTTGACTCTTTAATAATTTTTATAATTGAACTTCTAACACTATGAGCCAATAAATAAATTAATTCATTTTAAATTTTGTGACCAAGATAATGATAATGAATTTTATTATTTTGAATACGTCTAATATGATCTTGCATAACTATATTAAATTCGACAATCATTTCAATTATTCCTAAGAAATTACCATTACTGTCTAGATAAAAAATTTTATTCGAACCTCGAAAAGCTAAATTATATTTAGAAAAATATTTTACAACGGAAATTATTCTAATTAAAATTTGTCTTCAACATTCTTTTTCTTTTGTAATTTCTTTTGAATATCTTTATCAATTGTTTGATTTTTATTTAATCTTATTTTTAATTCATTCCAAGTATTCATATATGTTATATGTTGAATACTATTTTCATATTATTTAAGTCTTTCGGCTAAATGTTTCCAATATTTAAATCCATCGTTTGCCAATAAACATTTACTGTTATTTTTTTTAAACATTTTACAACAAAAATAATATATTTTATCTACATGTTTAAAATAACTAACTATTTTTTATCATTAATTTTTTCATTATTTAATTTTCTAGAGTAATGGATATAAGAAAAATGTCGGGAAGTCTTATGTAATAGAAAAGTAAGACCTAATTCTCTTCTCTGTCCATTTTCAATTAAAATATTTTTGTATATTATCAAGATTATCTCATAAATATCTAGATAAGAAATATCACTATCATCAATTTCTAATCTTGTTTAATTATTATTATTATTATTATTATTATTATTATTATTGATAATATTACTATTGACAATATTTTCGCTATTTAAATTTTTAATAGATTTAGAATGTTCAATACAATTATCACTTAATTCGTCAAAACTCTTAATGACCTATATTCTTACTAAAAAATTTATCTAAAGCTCATTTTTATGATTTTATTAATTGTACCTTTTCTTTTTCACTTCCTGAAAAATATTTTTTAGATAGTATTTTAAAAAATTTATAAATATAAATAAAATAATAAAAGAACAATATCACTTCACAATAACTGAATTTTCCTCCTTTTTGCTTTACTGCCAATTTTTTTTTTTTTTTTTTTTTTTTTTTGTGTCTGTACCTTGCTACATGTATTGAACCTTGTTAATTGAATTTGAATTTTTTTCTTCTTTTTTCCTTTTTTTTTTTTTTATTTGTACTTGCAATAGAAAAAATAGCATATAATAATATTAAAAAATCAAATAATAAACATTAACAAAGATATACACTTTTACAAATTTAAGGCTAAATTGCACAAAAGAAAACCTACACGTGGTTTTATGAAATTGCGTCAAATCTCTAATATTCTAAAACTGCGTCAAACTTTTTTGTAGTTTCATAAACTTTGCGTCTAATCCCCTCGGCGGTCTTTATTCAACGGTATTTGACCTAAATAAGCCCAAACTGCAAATAAATTTTAGAATCTCAATTTCTAAATCCCTAAAATTACAAATATATTCATTTTTCTTATATTTTTTAATTTTAATTATATATATCTTTTATATTTTTATTTTTATTTTTATTTTGATATATTTTATATATTTGATTTTATTATTTTATTATTTTTTATTATAAAAATAAAAATTATCCACATGACCGACACGTGTCACATGTGGCGCTAATCTGGACTATACGTGTCCGCCAGCCTGCCACGCAGGTGCCACATAGACATTGAAAACTAAATTGATAAAATTTTTCAATTACGAGACTATTGTAAAACACTCTCCAGTTAGGAGACTAAAACGATAAAGTGGTCCAATTAGGGACTAAAAAACAGTTTATCCTATTGCTAAATATTTAATATTTTAGTTAATTTTAATTTATATCATTAATGAATACCATTAATATAAATATATATAATTAATTATAGTTATTCATTCAAATATTTTATTACCAATATATACAAAAGTTAAAAAAAAGTTGGAAAGTAGTCAACTTACCGTACAAATGTAACATTACAATATTTAAATTTAAACAATTTAATTATTATTGTTATTATGGTCTTATCATTATATTGTATATTAAGGTATTATTATTACCATTGTATTATATTCTATTCATAATCTTACCATAATCTTGTAGTATAATGTTATTTAGGTGTATAATGTATATAATAGGTTCAATAGATAATCCTTATCCCAATCCCCTTTATATAGCTTACTATATATGCATTATTATTTTTATTTTTATCTCCTATATATATATATACATACATACACATATTTATATCAATCAATTCCTAATAGAAGAAGAAATAACAAAAATAAAATTCTTTCGATGGCAATTGCAATGGAAAAATGTGTGTCGAAGTGGTCTGATGTTGAATACGTGCCAGAAAGTCACATTTGCCCAATTGAAGCCAGACCAGGAAATGATCCAATCCCAACATGTAACAAAATCCCAATTATCGATCTCCAAAGCCCTCAGGCACTTCACCAAATCATCCAGGCCAGCCAAGAATATGGAATTTTTCTGGTAATTGAATAATTAATTAATTTTTTTCTTTCTTTCTTTCTTCATTTTTTTTTTTTTTTTTTCGATATGATGCATAAATTCCATAATTAGGTGACCAATCACGGCGTGTCCGAGGATGTAATAGAAGAGACAGTGAAGGTGTTGGAGGAGCTCTTCAGCCTCCCGCCGGAGGACTTAACGAAGGACGCGAAAGCCAACAGTTGGGTCTACGTCGACAGCAACAAATTTGTAGCTGCCGGGACTCATCTATGGCGCGACAACATTAAACATTTGTGCTATCCTTTAGAGGATTCCATGCCACATTGGCCTCAACAACCCATTCGCTACAGGTTCTTACAATATCTATATATATATATATATATATATATATGCATCAATTGGTCATCGTTATTAATTAATTTAATACGCACTGAAATTCTTGTTTGGATATGATTCAGAGAAGTTATGGCGAAATATATAATGGGAATAGAGAGGGTGAGTTTGAGGATACTAGAGATTATCTCTGAAGGATTGGGGTTAGAAAAGGACCACCTAGTAAGTATGAGCGAAACAAAATTCTTGTCAGCGAATAACTGCCCGCCGTGCCCCAACCCGAGCATAGCCTTGGGAGTGCCCAAGCATCTTGATCACAACCTCATAACAATTTTGTACCAAGGGAATGTCGAAGGGCTTCAGATCTTGAAAGATGGCGAGTGGTTTGGCGTTGAAGCTCCACAGAATACCTTTGCCGTCAATATCGGCACCCAACTCCAGGTATGTCATATGCGCCTAAACAAGCTCGCGCGCTACCGCAATATGATTTAAAAATTACGTCAAACTTATATCTATATATATTTTTAAAACTCTACATATAGAATTTTCAATGAGAAAAAAATTGATGTCACTCAATTTTAACCGATGAAAAAGTATTATTATAAAGTCTAACAAAAACATTGCTAATTGTTATTTTTTAGGTTCACTTGGATTGGTTTTTGCCAAAAACTTTGAACTTTTGCTTCTGAAAGAAATACTTTATACGTGTTTGTATTGGGTTTTGTTCAAAAGTAATTTGAGTTTCTTTAACTGTGGTTTGATATAATATTTTATAAAATAAAATTATATATAAAAATTTTCATCAAGAATAATAAAAATTTTAAATCAAATATAATTTGTGTATAGATTATCAGCAATGGGAAGCTAAAAAGTCCGGAGCATAGGGTAGTGCCAAATTTGAATCAAAAAAGGATTTCTATTGCAACCTTCGTTAATCCAAAGCCAGAAAGTGTGATCGAACCGGCAAAAATATTAGTGAATGAAGACAGTCCTGCTCAATATTCTGCGACAACCTTCAAGGACTTTGTCGAGAAAACCAATGCTTACGGCCCTTTCACTAATGCGCTTCAAACTGTCGGGAAAGATTGATGGATTTAGAGATTTGTTTCCCATCTTTGAAATAATTATATGATTCGAAGTTATTTGGATCAACTTATGTTTTTAATCTATCTAGTATGATTTGTAGTTGTTATGATATTATATGCTATCTTCGTTTCAAATATTTCACTATTATTTTTAATTTAGTAAATCCAAAATATTTGCAACAAACAAAAATAAAAAATGAATATTAATTATTAAATAAGAAAATGACAATATTGTTTTGTAACATACAAAAATAAAAAATAACAACCTTTTTAGAGATGGAAGAAGTATAAAAATTAATTTTAATTACTTTACATGTATAAAAGTAAATTCATAAGTTATTAGAACAAATTATATTAAAATAATTAATAAATACTTAATAAAAATATATTAATATGTGTAAAATAAATGTTTAATGGTTAAAGATAAAAATAAATAAAAACTAATAAATTGAAAAAGTTGTTCCCATTATATATCCGCAAACGGATAGGAGTCCCAACACACTCCTCAGGTGCAAATGGAGGTATGCGAAATGCATATACGTGCAAATGGGGACCGTAGGACTTGAACTCACCTAGTCGGACTCTTACACCATTTTTTAAGTTTGAATTTTAGTTTTGATGTAAAAAATAAAATTGATAAATAAATTATCAGGATATAAATAAATAGATAAAAAATAATATTATCTAAAATTGCAGATTGCAGAAACAAAAAGATCACGGTGTGTGGACGAAGACGAAGAACAAAGAAAGAAGAAAGAAATTTACGTAAAATAAGAATGAAGAAAATTAAGATAAAAGAAATTTATAAAATAAAAGAGATTAAAAACAATTTGAAAAAATAAAAAATAAACACCTTCAATGCAGAGCATTTTGCAACTTCATTGTAAAGTTCCCATGAAAAATTACAATATATATCTACAAGTTATGACCCTTCTCACTTTGAGCCCTGGGCGAGGGCCCCCTTCGCCCTGGCCCAGGCCTGGCCACCGGGTGTCAAGATGGCGATATTGTTCCCATTGAGCAAAATCTGATCAAGCTTTGTAATCCGGCATCCTTCGGAAGTTATCTCCTATTCGTTACATCCTCCAACATCATCTTCACATACACAACAAATCCATGGAGTGTGTGGATGAGCTCATTGTCTCCCTTCATTGTAACTCATATTTTGGACCAAATGCAACGATCAGGACTGGTCTGGTCCTGATAAGAGAAACGCCTGCCAATACTCAATATAAATAGGGGCTATTATATATATATACTAGTGGAAAATCTGTGCTCGATACACGACTTTTTTTATATCTTATTTTTTTATTCATAAAATATTTTATATATTTTTTTTATGTTTCCGTTAAATTTTTATTAAAAGAATACATCTATAATTTTTTTCATAAAAGTTAAAAATTAGAATTTATATAATCATTAGTTTTGTAATTAATATATATGTATAATAGAGAATTTATTTTAAAATTTTTAATTTAAATGAATTATTTAATTTTAAAATGAATAATAAGTTTTGTATATATACATTATACTATCATATTCTTAATAATTTTATCAACTTTTATATATAAAAATCATTTATTAATTGTGTTAATTATAGTTTTATTAAGTATGTTAATTATGGTATATTAATTATGAATATTAATATAAATTTATTGTAATAAAAATATCAAAATAAAGAAAAAAATAAAATAGTATAGATTTATTGAAAACTTAAAATAAATACAAATATTTTTAATAAAATTATAAAAATTCCATTAAATCATCAATATTTATATTTTTATTAAAATAAATCAAAAATTTAATTTAAATATAAAAATATGAATAACATAATACATATATTATAAATAAAAATAAATTAATTTTATTTTAATGTTATTATTAAATATAAATTAATATAGAAATTATTTGGAAAAAAATAACAGAAAAATATCTGTAATATACAATAAAAAGGTTATATTAAAGTATTTATGCAAAGTACAAAATAATAACAAAATAAAATATTATAAGTAAAATGAAGGAGAAAAAAACTGGGTGGGTAAGGAAGATAGAAACGTTGCTAAAAGATTAACCAAAACTTACCGGAAAAATATTCCTGAAAAATAAGAGAAATAGAGAAGAAATAAGATTGAAGTGTGTTTGAAATAAGGTGAGGAAATAATCTTGCGCGTCGGGAAAATTAATACCTGAGGCAAAATAATCGGTAACCGACCATTATTAAATATAATTAATATTATAAATAAAAATAAATAAAATTTTAATTTTATTATTAAATATAAATCAATATATGAATTACCTAAATATAAATAACACAAAAATATCTATAAATGCAAAAATATATAAAATTATTTATATACTGTACAAAATAAAAACAAAATAAAATAGTATAAGTAAATTATAAATTAAAACGACGCATCATCTTCGGATTAGGTGACACCTCAATATTTTAGAATTCTGAAGATTAAAATGTGAGGAAAAAAAAAACTATATTGGGTAACTAAGGAAAGTAAACGTTACAGAAATATTAATCGGAAAGTCGCCAAAAAAATACTATCGAAAAAATTGAGGAACATTAAGAGGATAAGAGAATATTGTGTCATTGAAATGGGGTGAAGAAATGGTCTTTTATAGGGATTCAAATAGAAGTTATCATCAAATTTGTAATTAATCCCGACATTATTTGATCGTAATCGTTTTTAATATTTGGTAACTTCCAATCATAAAAGTCAAAATCAAGTTTATTCATAATGTTCATTTATATTTAATAAAATTTTATTATTTAATTGTAATATATTAGATATTAAATATAGAAGTATAATAATAATAATAATAATAATAATAATATATTATTTAATAATAATTAATTTGTAATGAATTAATTATAAATATTTAGAATAAATTTTTTATTAAAAAAATGAGAAAAAATATGTGTTTATTACGAATATAATTATAATGAATTATAATGTTTAAAAATGAGTTAGTTTTTTAATAAAAATTAGTTATAAAATTATTAAAAATATAAAATTTTAAAAATTATTAATTATAAATATAATTAATATTAATTATATATTTGAATTATAATTAAAAAATATTAAATTAGTTTTAAAATTATTAAAAATTTCCAAAATTTTAGAAATAATAGTAATTTATTTTTAATATCATTAATTATTTCGGGCATGGCCAGCTCCCAGAGTGTGACGGGCGGAGTCATCGACTTCTGGAAAATGGTAGAAGAATGGAACCTAAATAATTGTCAATAAAGGTGTATTTAAATGAAAATTACAAATATGAAATCAAATTTTAAAATATTAAAAAATTAAAAATTAAGAAAAAATTGAAACGGTGTATAATAATAGTAATAATTTTATTAAGTATATTATTATGGTATATTAATCATGAATATTTAATTTAATATTATAAATTTATTTTATTAAAAAATCAATAATGAGAAAACAAAATGATATGAGTTAGATTTTTTTTTATAAAGATAAAAAAATTAAAATATAATACACTTAAAATAACTATAAAATAAAATAAATGATTTAATTTTGAAATGAAAGAAGTATTATATATATAATTTTTAATTATAATTTTTTAAGTATATTATAATAGTATATATATTAAAAATATTTAATATAAATTTATTTTTACTAAAAATAAAAAATAAAAAGTACAAATAAATTGATATTAGTTTTATTTTTCATATATATATAATTAAAATATATTTCAAGTTATAATAATTAAATATATATAATATTAAATAATTACATTGAAAATTTAGTAAAATTTCATTATTAATTAACGGATATAAATAAAAACTAAAAAATTATTAAATTAATTTTAAAATTATTTATGAGAAAAAAAATATTATAAAACTATAAGACTTACTGATTTTTATAGATATATATATTAGGATTAGAAAATATAATGATTTATTTTTAATTTATTTATTATTAATCTAATTAGCATTAATTATAAAAATGATGAAAATTACATTCCAAATTTATTAAATTTGTATTACTCTTAAATAAGGATATAAATGGAAACAAAATTATATTATTTACTTTAATTGTGAAATTATATAAATTTTCTTATTATCTATAAAGATGTGTTAACTATAATTTTCTTAATTACGATATTGTTACGTACGAAATTTAGAATTAGGTTAAAAGCCCAAGGTAAAACGAGGAATGGGCCTGGCAATAGGGTTGATTGAACTGGCTGAAGGACACCGTGAGGAAATCAAGGAAAATAAATTTATTTAGTTATTTCTAAGAAAAATTCAGGACGGAAGGTCTTCAGGTCGAGAGGTCCGCAAGACGGAAAGACTTCAAGTCGGAAGGTCTTCAGGTCGGGAGGCTCTCAAGATGAAAGACCTCAAGTCGGACGGTCTTCAGGTCGGGAGATCCGCAAGACGGAAAGACCTCAAGTCGGAAGGTCTTCCGGTCGGGAGGTCCGCAAGACGGAAAGACCTCAAGTCGGAAGGTTTTCAGGTCGGGAGGTCCGCAAGACGGAAAGACGATGAGTCGGAAGGTTTTCAAGTCGGGAGGTCCTCGAGACGGAAAGTCGTTGAGATGGGATATCCGCAGGTCGGGTAAACTGTAGGTCGGATAGAAGGAGGAGTCGGACAAACACGGAGGCCTTTGATCAAAGACAGGGGGCGGTTGATATGGAGGTCGGCCCAAGTGGGGTCGGGCGAAGAAGTAGGTCGGACGAAGGACGAAGTCGGGCCAAAAGAGCGGAAGGTCTGTGGTCGGCTCAAGGAGTGAAATATAGGGAATTTTGGTCTGCTGGGGACACGTGTCAGCATAAGAAAGGTTGGAAGACGGTTGAGAAGGAGACGTTGTAACCGTTCGGGTGACGGTTTTCAGTACGGTTTCCCAGGGAATATTTAAGGATTTGGATCATCATTTGGCAAGGTATCTTCAATCAACTTCAACAAAGCAAAGTCAGATTTGGGGATCACCACTTTAAATTTCAGTCTTTTATTTTCCAGTTTATTTT